TAAATTTTGGCAGTGGATATAACAAATATTTTGAATAAGAGAATAATCTATTTTTACGTTACCTGTACAGTTGTAACCATTGCCCTCATAGCCCATGTGACAAGTACAATTATATGAACCATCAGTATTAGTGCAATTTGCATTCACATCACAAGGATTTGTTTGACATTCATTGATATCTAGAAATATATTAGACATGACATTCGCAAGGATTACAATGAGTTTGATTTTTAAAATCTCTACAAATCTTTTTCTATACCTTCCCTTCTCAAAAAAATACTATTTTATTAAATATCTATTAACATGCTGAGTATATGACATTGTCAACAATTGCAAATGAAAAAGAATCTAAAATCCTCTTTCCATCCTCAACTTAGGCATGCTGGAAAGAAAAGACTAATTCATGGGTGTATAAAACAACTGCTAGGGCAAACAATGAAATTAGAGTAATCGTGTGAGCTAGGTAGCTGTCGGGGTTACAGCGGATAAATACCGCTCGGGTTCAGACTTGGCTTTCCGAAAGAAAGCCAAAACAAAATAAATTTTCACCATGCATAAAATAAATACTTTTGAATATGCCGATATTCTATTTTTACGTTACCTGTACAGTTGTAACCATTGCCTTCATAGCCCGTGTTACAAGTACAATTATATGAACCATCAGTATTAGTGCAATTTGCATTTACATCACAAGGATTTTTTTGACATTCATTGATATCTAGAAATATATTAAGGATGACGTTGGCGAGGACTACATTGAGATTCATTTTTATCCTGTGTACAAAATTTTTGTATTTTTCCCGAACATAAAAAAAAATTAATACCAGCTGATTTAGCTGAGTATATGCCATGGTGAACAATTGTAAATGAAAAAAGAATGTAAAATTCTCTCTCCTTTCTTTATTTTAGGCACGTTGGATCAAAGCGAATGACTAATTCATGTTTTAATTGTTCAACTATTACAGCAAACAAGAAAATTATATAAACTATTCGTGTCGTCTAGGCAGCTGTCGCGGAAACAGCGGATAAATATCGCTCGCGTTCAGATTTGGCTTTGCGAAAGAAAAACAGAAGAAAATAAATTTTGGCAATGGATGTAACAAATATTTTGAATAAGAGAATAATCTATTTTTACGTTACCTCTACAGTTGTAACCATTGCCTTCATAGCCCATGTGACAAGTACAATTATATGAACTATCAGTATTAGTGCAATTTGCATTTACATCACAAGGATTTGTTTGACATTCATTGATATCTAGAAATATATTAGACATGACATTCGCAAGGATTACAATGAGTTTGATTTTTATAATCTGCACAAATCTTTTTCTATACCTTTCCTTCCCAAAAAAATACTATTTTATTAAATATCTATTAACATGCTGAGTATATGACATGGTCGACAATTGCAAATGTAAAAGAATCTAAAATCCTCTTTCCATCCTCAACTTAGGCATGCTGGAAAGAAAAGATTAATTCATGGGTGTATAAAACAACTGCTAGAGCAAACAATGAAATTAGAGTAATCGTGTGAGCTAGGTAGCTGTCGGGGTTACAGCGGATAAATACCGCTCGGGTTCAGACTTGGCTTTCTGAAAGAAAGCCGAAACAAAATAAATTTTGACCATGCATACAATAAATACTTTTGAATATGCCGATATTCTATTTTTACGTTACCTGTACAGTTGTAACCATTGCCTTCATAGCCCGTGTTACAAGTACAATTATATGAACCATCAGTATTAGTGCAATTTGCATTTACATCACAAGGATTTGTTTGACATTCATTGATATCTAGAAATATATTAAGGATGACGTTGGCGAGGACTACATTGAGATTCATTTTTATCCTGTGTACAAAATTTTTGTATTTTTCCCGAACATAAAAAATATTAATACCAGCTGATTTAGCTGAGTATATGGCATAGTGAACAATTGTAAGTGAAAAAAGAATGTAAAATTCTCTCTCCTTCCTTAACTTAGGCACGTTGGATCAAAGCGAATGACTAATTCATGTTCTAATTGTTCAACTATTACAGCAAACAAGAAAATTATATAAACTATTCGTGTCGTCTAGGCAGCTGTCGCGGAAACAACGGATAAATATCGCTCGCGTTCAGATTTGGCTTTGCGAAAGAAAAACAGAAGAAAATAAATTTTGGCAATGGATATAACAAATATTTTGAATAAGAGAATAATCTATTTTTACGTTACCTGTACAGTTGTAACCATTGCCCTCATAGCCCATGTGACAAGTACAATTATATGAACCATCAGTATTAGTGCAATTTGCATTCACATCACAAGGATTTGCTTGACATTCATTGATATCTAGAAATATATTACAGATGACATTCTTCAAAATAGAACATATTAATAACAATCTGACTTAGCTGAGTATATAGCATGGTGAACACATGTAAATGAAAAAAAAGGTAAAATTCTCTTTCCTTCCTTAACTTAGGTACGTTGGATCCAAGCGAAAGACTAATTCATGTTCTAACTAGAAATACATGCATGCAGCAACCCCTCGCTATTTCAAACCAAGTACACAATCTCCTGAGTTAACCTGACCTAAACTTATATTATGAAATGACACAAAACTCAAATCAGTCTTAAAGTTTCCATCATTCAATACAAAAATAATCACAAAGCTAGTGTAAACATTGCCCGTTCAATTTTGCTGCATTATACCATGCCAGCAATTAAGTAACGGTTTAAAATCGAAGTTTCAAACGATTAAAACAGTACAAAATCTTCACAGACAAAGAAAAAACTTCAAATGTTATTTTATTCTGTAATTGCAGTCAACGCCGGCGGCTAAAAGTTTCAGTATACTTTATAAATATAGTGTGTATTTTTGATACCAAAATTCAAATTACACTTTCAAAAACACTTTTTGAAGTTAAAGCAAAGGTGTAATAGCCCTTCACAGGTTTATGCGTTTGCAGAAAAAGCTTAAAATTTAACAAATGAACGGCATACAAAGCTGAAAAGTATACAAATACGGCTCATTCTTACCGCGAAACAAGTACGAGATAAACAAAGTAAACACGTACCCTTTGTCTTTGAAAATATTTATAAGCCTGCAGATTATGAATTATTCCTCTTACACGGCTTTGTTTAGACTGTATCCACGTTCATCTTTGCTATCTGTCATGCTTCATATATCTTGTTTCTTCTCGTTTTACTTTCTTTGCACAAAGTTTATGAAACGCTTTTACAAAAATGTGTACGAAATGACAGTTAAATTGCTGACGTTCTCATTGAATTACAAACTTTCTGTCTTAGCCAATCAGAACGTTCGTTGATTACCAGTCTACACTCGTTCGCATTTCACGCATGCGCACAAGTACCATGACCATTGAACGTCCACGGTCCACGGTCCACGACATAGAATTTGAGCAACTTTGGATTCCGATATGTTCTGTCACAATACCCGGGTGTAATAAATCTCCCAGCGGAATTAGTACCCTCGCACGGCGCTTCGCGCCGGCTCGGGGATTATTCAACTATTAGAGCAAACAAGTAAATTAAACTATTCGTTTGGTCTAGATAGCTGTAATAGAAAAAAAATTGGAAATGGATATAAGAAATAATTAGGATATGCGAATAATCTATTTTTACGATACCTGTACAGTTGTAACCATTGCCCTCATAGCCCATGTTACAAGTACAATTATATGAACTATCAGTATTAGTGCAATTTGCATTTACATCACAAGGATTTGTTTGACATTCATTGATATCTAGAAAATTAATATATTATAGATGACATTCGAAAGGATTTCATTGAGTTTGAATTTGATAATCTGTAGAAATCTTTTTCAATACTTTTTCCCAAAACAAAAATATTTCATGATATAATTATTAACAATCTGACTTAGCTGAGTATATAACATTGTGAACAATTGTAAATAAAAAAGAATGTAAAACTCTCTCTCCTTCCTCAACTTAATTAGGCACGTTAGATCCAAGCCAAAGACTAATTATTCAATTTCTAATTATTCAACTATTAGAGCAAACAAGGAAATTAAACTAATCGTGTGAGCAAGATAGCCGTCATGGAAACAACAGTAGAAATTTCGCTTGCGATCAGAACATGGATTAGCGATAGAAACAAAGAGAAAAATAAAATTTGACTGTGGATATAACAGTTAATTTGTTTATGCATATATTCTGTGTTCACCTCACCTGTACAGTTGTAACCATTGCCTTCATAGCCCATGTTGCAAGTACAATTATATGAACCATCAGTATTAGAACAATTTGCATTTACATCACAAGCATTTGGTTGACATTCATTGATATCTAGAAATATATTAATTCAGAGATGATATTCGCAAGGATTGAGTTTGATTTTGATAAATTGTAGAAATCTTTTGCAATAGTTTTCCTCAAAACAAAAATATTTTATTGAATAACTATTAACAAGCTGAGTATATGAAATGGTGAACAATTGCAAATTAAAAAGAATCTAAAAAGTAAAATCAGGCATGCTGGAAGGAAAAGATTAATTCATGGGTATATGCATGTATTATAATACAACTACTAGAGCAAACAAGGAAACTAGAGAGTAATCGTGTGATCTAAGTAGCCGTTAGTAAAACAGCGGATGAATATCTCTCGAATTTGATTTTAATAATCAGTGTTATTGCACGTAGCATTGGAATGACATGGGAGAGATGTTAGGCATTCGTCAACATCTGAAATGATATTTTCAGCATTGTTACTTTTCCATTTCCTCCTTTTCATTCAACACTTGGTAGAAATATTATTTGCGTTGTCTTACCCGTGCAGTTGAATCCATCTCCAGTATATCCAGAATCACATGTGCAAATATAAGATCCATCTGTGTTATTGCACGTAGCATTGGAATGACATGGGGGAGATATTACGCATTCGTCAACATCTGAAATGGCATTTTTAGCATTTTTGCTTTTCCATTTCCTCTTTTTTACTCAACACTTCTAAGAAATATTATTTGCGTTGTCTTACCCGTGCAGTTGAATCCATTTCCAGTATATCCAGAATTACATGTGCAAATATAAGATCCATCTGTGTTATTGCACGTAGCATTGGAATGACATGGGGGAGATGTCACGCATTCGTCAATATCTGAAATGGTATTTTTACCATTGTTACCTTTCCATTTCCTCTATTTTACTCAACACTTGGTAGAAATATTATTTGCGTTGTCTTACCCGTGCAGTTGAATCCATCTCCAGTATACCCAGAATCACATGTGCAAATATAAGATCCATCTGTGTTATTGCACGTAGCATTGGAATGACATGGGGGATATGTTACGCATTCGTCAACATCTGAAATGACAGTGGCAAAATTTTTATTTTTCCATGTATTTTTTTTTTACCAAAAACATGTTAAAAATCAAACATTATCTCCGTTGTCTCACCCGTGCAGTTGAACCCGTCTCCTGTATATCCAGAATAACATGTACAAATATAAGATCCATCTGTGTTATTGCACATAGCATTGGAATGACATGGGGGAGATGTTAGGCATTCGTCAACATCTGAAATGGCATTTTTAGCATTGTTACTTTTCCATTTCCTCTTTTTCACTCAACACTTGGTAGAAATATTATTTGCGTTGTCTTACCCGTACAGTTGAATCCATCTCCAGTATACCCAGAATCACATGTGCAAATATAAGATCCATCTGTGTTATTGCACGTAGCATTGGAATGACATGGGGGAGATGTTACGCATTCGTCAACATCTGAAATGACAGTGGCAAAATTTTTATTTTTCCATGTATTTTTTTTTTACCAAAAAGATGTTAAAAATTAAACATTATCTCCGTTGTCTCACCCGTGCAATTGAACCCGTCTCCTGTATATCCAGAATAACATGTACAAATATAAGATCCATCTGTGTTATTGCACATAGCATTGGAATGACATGGGGGAGATGTTAGGCATTCGTCAACATCTGAAATGGCATTTTTAGCATTGTTACTTTTCCATTTCCTCTTTTTCACTCAACACTTGGCAGAAATATTATTTGCGTTGTCTTACCCGTACAGTTGAATCCATCTCCAGTATATCCAGAATTACATGTGCAAATATAAGATCCATCTGTGTTATTGCACGTAGCATTGGAATGACATGGGGGAGATGTTACGCATTTGTCAACATCTGAAATGACATTTTTACCATTGTTACTTCTCCATTTCCTCTTTTTTACTCAACATTTGGCAGAAATATTATTTGCGTTGTCTTACCCGTGAAGTTTAATCCATCTCCAGTATATCCAGAATCACATGTGCAAATATAAGATCCATCTGTGTTATTGCACGTAGCATTGGAATGACACGGGGGAGATGTTACGCATTCGTCAACATCTGAAATGACAATGGCAAAATTTTTATTTTTCCATGTTTTATTTTTTACCAAAAACATGTTAAAAAATAAACATTATCTCCGTTGTCTTACCCGTGCAGTTGAACCGGTCTCCTGTATATCCAGAATAACATGTACAAATATAAGATCCATCTGTGTTATTGCACGTAGCATTGGAATGACATGGGGCAGATGTTAGGCATACGTCAATATCTGAAATGACAGTTCAGCATTTTCATTTTTCATTTGCTATTTTTAACTAAAAAGTATTTTTAAAATATTATTTTATATGACAGAAAAGCCATATAATATAACCTGTTGTACAGAAATTGATGTCATCTAAATTGTCAAGCAAGTCCGTTAGATTACGATTAACCACTCGTCTTAAGGTAGCAATGGAAAAGTAGTTTGTTTTCATTCAGGAACAGCTTTTAGAATTTAGATGTTTATATCTTGATCACTTCACTCATGAAAATGCTCTAACCACAAGTTCCGTAATACGTCGGTGCAATTTTATTTAAATAATCCTATGTATACTGCAAAAAATGCATTTTCTCATTTGAGTAAATGTTACTCACTTTTTGAGTAATTGTACCGATTACTCAATAATTTGAGTAAATTTTACTCCTCATTCGGTAAAGAGAAACTTTACTCTCTCTTGCGAGTAAACGAAAATTCAAAATGTTGAGTAAAGTGTTAGAGTAATTTTTACTCCAATTTTTGCGCACTCTTTACTCAACTATGAGTAAATTGATGAGTAAAATTTACTCAAGCTAACGCAGGAGATTTAAATACTCACAAATTTGAGTAAATGTAAAGTTTTACTCTTTTCCTGAGTAAACGCAGCATTTACTCAAATCATGAGTAAATACAACGTGTAAATACAACTCAAAATTTTGAGTAAATACAACGTGTATCAGTTACTAAAAAAAACACGTATTCTTTACTCAAAAAAAGAGTAAACTTTACTTTTACTACAAAACTATGCCGGCCACATATATCTTTCCAGTATTTGGGGCTTATTTTGACGGCTAAGTTATTAACAAGGCCAAGAACATTATTGGTTCATATATTAATATCACATAATACCACAAATTAAATATATACAATATATATATTATAATGAGCCAATCATGTTTTGCGTTTCCTTCGGTATGCTAATACAAGCGTACGGATATAATTAATTATAATGCGCCAATCATGTTTTGCGTTTTCTTTGGAGGTAAATGCTAATACAAGCGGACGGATATAATTAATTATAATGAGCCAATCATGTTTTGCGTTTCCTTTGGCGCGACGATTCAAATGACTCCAATTTCATTGTCAGTTTCAAATCACCGTGAGCTTCAACGTGCGGTAAAAGCTTGTCTTTGTGTCTTGGTATATTCAAATATTTCTTTGCTCTATAATTCCGCTGAACTGAGAAAAAATGTTCACAGTGGAGGACGTTCACTCATGGCTTATTGCAGTTGGCTTTGGCGAGTATTGCCAGACGTTTAAGGTATGTTTTTGAGCTTGTTGTTAGCGGAAGATGTGGCGCGCAAATACTCTGTAATTTACTCTTGTTGTCAAATCCAAAGTACAATCGCGCACAAAATGTAGATATTTCAAATTTCATCACTATATAAAAGATAGCATATGCATACACTACCTTTAATTGTAAATCCCCGAAAAATCGCCGTGACATTGGCGGGATTTAGCCTTTAGGGGCATTGCATATAGATACGGCAGAACGTCGATGTTGGACACCATTGTTTAATGGTTTATATGAGAATTTCGAGTGCGGCTTATTTGGGGCAAACTCTGGAGCCTTGTCTTATTTTCGCTCGTATAAATGGCCCTTATGCTTATATGAAACTTAGGCAGCTTATATACTGTTTATATACTGTAAAAATGATATTTTGATTGTAAGCAGTCTCCTTGTTTGATCTTGCATGAATTTGTATTGAATAATTCATATCAAAAATTCAATTTCAATTGAGAGGCCACTAAAAATTGTGTTCAGTTAATAATATAAAATTATGTATTTTGGAGCACTAATAGTAATTTACTTATGGTTTTCAAAACACCAATTCACAAAAGATTATTTATACCTTTGACCAATAGATCATTCAAGTAATCAGGTTGCACATAAAGTGTCAGTTATATATATATTGGCTTCATGAAAGGTCTTATACATAGAACCTATTACTTTATTTACTTAATGACCTCAGAACAAAGGTCTCACAGCAAGTATAATATATTGATTTTTTGAGCACACATGCTCTTAGATATGTAATAGCTTTGGTCTTTCATTTTCATTGGACAACATAAGCAATAAAGGTATATAAAAAGAGCATCAAACATCAGAGTCAAATTACTGTCACATTTAAAGGTAAAAATAATTTTACTAAAAATTGTGTTTGGCAAATTATGAATTAAGTGACATTGCAGTTTATTGTTTTGAATATTGGCCCTGGCATTGCTGTTTAACAGCTTTTGTGTAAGGTGGCTTAGACCGCCTTTAACCATCAGCTCACTTGGGCAGCACATCTTGTGTTGCCCATCAGTGAGAATTGCAAAGACAATATTCAAGACATGTATACATTTATGTTGATGCAGTTCTGCTGCTGTGTAAGGTGGATTCCGCCTTTTACCAGTACCTCTTTTGAGTGGCTTGTCCGCTCATGAAAGAGGAGATATATAAATGAATACACTCTGTAATGTAATTTAATACAAGGTTTTCTTTTAGACTGAGGTGAAATGACAGTTTTATATGGGGCTTATACATATTTTTTATCAAATTTGTATTTAATTAATAATTTAACTAAAAATTGTGTTTGGCAAATTAGGAGTTAAAGTGACATTGCAGTTTATTGTTTTGAATATTGGCCCTGGCATTGCTGTTTTACAGCTTTTGTGTAAGGTGGCTTAGACCGCCTTTAACCATCAGCTCACTTGGGCAGCACATTTGTATTGCCCATCAGTGAGAATTGCAAAGACAATATTCAAGACATGTATACATTTATGTTGATGCAGTTCTGCTGCTGTGTAAGGTGGATTCCGCCTTTTACCAGTACCTCTTTTGAGTGGCTTGTCCGCTCATGAAAGAGGAGATATATAAATGAATACACTCTGTAATGTAATTTAATACAAGGTTTTCTTTTAGACTAAGGTGAAATGACAGTTTTATATGGGGCTTATACATATTTTTTATCAAATTTGTATTTAATTGCACAAAAAATTCAGCAACTAACACTCAACAGTACTAAACATCTTATAAAATACAAGATTACATTTAAGTAATATATTTATCTTTTTTACATGACACTTACTCTTTGATATGTGATATGGTCTAATGTGTTTGAGAGAACACAAGCTGCACCATCGCAAAAAAAACATGTGGCAAAATGAAAACTATAACTTGTTTTATTATTTATGACTAAATAGGTTACGTACCATGCTAAATGATTTAACTAAAAGTTGTGTTACTCAATATAAGTTGGACAGAGACATCGGCGATGAATGATAAAGAAATGGCGAGTTCACTAAGTAAGATCAAATACATGTCTTCTCCGAATCAAAAGAGAGAAAAAAGACAGGAAGAAGACAAAGAAAACAAGAAAAAGAACGAAGAAAAAAGTGACTTAATTGGTACTGTTTTTTGAGGCGAGTTTCTTTTTACTTGTGTCATTAACATTATAGGCCAGGCTTGATCCTGGCTGCTAAGTAACAAAGCAATTACGAGGTCTTTATTTGCCTTACCGAGTACAGTACCCATTTGAGACAAACACCAGGGCGTTGGGTGAAAGGTTGCTTAACGCTCAAGTCTTCTGTCAATATAAGTCTATCTGAACGATATTTTATCTATCTTTTCTATAGGACGGAAGTTTCGAGAATGCAGCAAAAGAATGTTATGCAAGCGGTAAAGCTTCATTTTGCAAACAAGAACAATTATACATTATACATAGCAAAGTCTCTAGGTTATCTTTCTTCATTTTTACCGAAATGTACGTTATTTGCAAAATAAAATTTGTCCTCCAGATGCCAACTGTGACATCATGAGTTTTGCATTAATGACTGCATGTCATTTTACTATATTATTGACAATGTATATACCACTTTAACGAAACTTAAGGTTGTGATTGATTGTATATTCTGATTGTGTAACTGCGATTCGTGTGCTGCAAAATAGCAGGCCTGTTGTAAATTAATTTTTAAAATAGACAATTTCATTGAACAAGTTGTTTGTGTGCATTTTTTGTCTCGATCTACATTATTATGTAGTGCGGTGTATTCTTGTTATTCTCCTTGTTTCAAGTTTTCACTTTTTTTTTACTCAGAATTGCGAGTAGCTGTCATCACAGTAGCTGAGCAATTTGGAAATCCAATTGGAAGTCAAATTACGCAAACGTTCGAGTAGCTTTACTCGTCTTTTGAGTAATTCCCGCGTTTACTCAAAATAAGGAGTCACTGTGGAAGCAATTTGTCCGAGTAACTGGTACTCGTTTTTTGAGTAGAAACTACTCTTATACTCGGGTAAATTTACCGAAATAATGAGTAGTTTCTACTCAAAAAATGAGTTCTAGTTACTCAAACAAATTGCTTCCACAGTGACTCCTTATTTTAAGTAAACGAGCGAATTACTCAAAATTGCGAGTATTTAACTGGGTTTACTCATTTAATGAGTAAATAAGGGTACACAGCTTTTGAGTACTTTGTACTCTTTTATTTGAGTAATATTTACTCAAAACAAGCGAGTAATTTTTACTCAAATATTTTGAGTATGTTTTACTCAGTATAATGTGTCACTGTGGAAGCAACATTTTACTCAATAATTTGAGTACAATTTACTCAGGATTTTTTGCAGTATATAATTACTTCTCTTGTTTGCAAGTATTTACGGAACCAACAATTATCTTATTTTTTTATTGTGTTCTACTTGAACTTTGTGAAAAATATTATCTCCGTTGTATAACCTGTGCAGTTAAACCCGTCTCCTGTATATCCAGAATTACATGTGCAAATATAAGATCCATCTGTGTTATTGCACGTAGCACTGGAATGACATGGGGGAGATGTTACGCATTCGTCAACATCTGAAATGACAGTTCAACATTTTCATTTTTCATTGGAATGAGATGGGGGAAGATGCGAACGGACATATTTAAATTAAAAAAAAGTTTTTATTTATTTTGACTTTTAAAAAGACTATTGCATTAGCCATATGCTGCACTACCCATTAGCTGCGCATGGTGATCGTAATGAAAATTTCGTTATCCCAATTTTAAGTTTCACAACGTTCTGGCTTGTACTCCTTTGTCTTTGTTTTGTTGTTTCTCAAATTGCACAAAATCTCTGCGTACCTTCACAATTAGTTCCTATCCCAGTATAGCCTTCCTTGCATGTGCAGAAATAACTTCCTGGTGTGTTTGTACACGTTGCATTATCATGACAATAACCGCCAATACAACATTCATCCAAATCTGAAAAAATAAGTAGTGAGGTGCGTCAATCAAGAATTTATTCTTCCTTCTAAACTTGTTTAGGATCGAGTTACGGATTTTTATTTGGATCATAAAAGCCTTAAACACTTTCAAAAACACTTACTCAAAATTCTTTTTCAATATTTGCACATCAAAATACAATACTTGGCCGAGTTGAGGTAGAAAATTATAATTATTTAAGTAAAAAAGAAATGTTAATTATTTCTTATCCTAAGAAAGCTAATTCTCTAATTTTTACATATTAAGCTAGCTAGGCAACATGTTAAAATATTATGTACTTTATTCTAAATTGGTGCTTTATATTTAGCGGCAAATAAAGTTCAATTGCTGATGAGCCTTGTTTACACTACGCTCGATTTATTGGCACGACACATGCAGCACGGATATAAATGGGTACCCGTGAACTCATTTCATCCGTGCTCGCGGCATTTTAAGCCTTTTCGCGGTGATTATTTTCATGAATGCAGTTTTTTTTTACGTTTCACTCACCTTCAACAACAGTTATTTCTTGTGGTGAATCACTGAGGAAAAATGAATATTGTAAAGTAGCAGTGCGTCTGTCAAACACATCTATACGTTTCCTTGTGCTATCCATTACATAGAAATTATCTTTCCCTATTGCAACGTTTACTGAACTTGTTGTACCAGGGTAGAACTTGACTTCAGACGTTGAACCATTGAAATATGTTTTCATAAGAGAATAACTATCACTAGCATCGATATAATCAATCCAATAAATAACTTCATACTGAGGATCAACTGTCAGGTATTTTGGTGATGTGTCATTATGGTAAACAATCTCATTTGTGTCTTTGTCGAGAAAATAGCGAACAATGTCTCCTCTGGTGGAGTCAGCCAATACAAGGGAACTAAAAAGAGAGACATTAATCCAAATTTGAAAGTTATGGTAAAAGGCATGCAAATACTAGCCATGTGATTATGATAATCACAGTATTTCTTTCTTTTTATTAAAGTATGTTAGTAAGTTATGGAATTATAGGTAAGCCTATCGCATGAGTTATAGAGCGATTCACTGAACAATATATTCATACAGGACAGTGGTTAATACACTATATATATATATATATCTGGGCCCTATCTCTATAAAAGAAAATCACAGATAAACTACCGGTCATCTAAAAATGAGAAAAATATACCGCGCGTCGCCATGGTGATTTAAAACGGGATTGACCATTCTTGGGGTTTGCGCGTATTTGCTAGAGTATGTCCATGCAGTTTAAGATGACATCAGTGATGTGGGGTCGTATAGTTACACATATTAATCTTCGTTTGGACGAATTATACCATTTCACACATTTTACATTGAAAGTAATCCTTGCACGCGTGTATAGTGCAAGTTATCAATCTGGGGCCGGTTGTATGAAAACTGGATAGATTACATGTAACATGACTAATTAATTATGCGTCTCTTGTATATAGTCGTTGTGCTGTTGTATAATATCATATTATTTACCTGGTGAGTTTAGCAAGCTTAACGCTTGTCATACGAATTATATAATTTGATTTATAAACTCCGTTTTCATAATGACAAAAAAATCAAATCAAAATATTCGCGTGCAAAAACCAGTCAAGGCGTAACATAAAACTTCTGATGTTGTATGAGACGTCTGATGTTATATTTCACGTTAATTAATAATTAAAATAAGTAAATGTTACCATAACACTAGCTATAGTTGAGTGACTTAACTTCCAGAAAAAGGTAAGAACATTGTCGTAGTTTTGCTATTTTTTCACAAAAATATGAGGGTAAACTTTGATTCTTTGAAAATATACGGCCGTTGCGAGTTGCTATGACTACGAATAACTAACAGTGCTTCCACGCCCAGAAAAATATTTTCATACTTCTTTCCTCACATACTACGTACCCTCCAAACCCTCAACCCACACAAATTTTCTATCATGTTACCATATCCCTACGCTTAACTAATTTCGTTTAACTGAGGCAAGGGGTTAATTGCTGCATGCATGTATTTCTAGTTAATCTATCTATTAGCTGATTGCCGAAAAGGCGCGTAGCACTGACTATAAAGTGACGAGCAACAAATTTTGAGCGAGTATATAAAAATTTATAGAATCTTTTGTTTATTCACGTGTTAATTATTTGCGCACCTGTTATCTGGATCACTATCCAAGTCGTCAACATTAGCAATATCGGTTGGATTTAGCTCCGTTGTATTTCCAGTATTCAAGTCAATAACATTTAGTGATTTGAATAGTCCAGTAACGTAGTAGACCTTTCTTGTTATATGATCTACTGTAAACCGAGAGATGGTCGAGAGAGATGCTATCGTAGTTGCATTACTTCCGTCCAGTTTAACTGTGATAAGACTGGTACCATCGTAGTAGAGGAGTCTTTTAGTCCCAGAATCATAATTTAGTTTCACGTTGGTTGCGGATAATACGGTCACGGTCGTGTTACCGTTAGAGAATACACCTTTGATAGCATCGGTTGTTGCATAGTATATGGCTTCCACTTTGCACGTCAACACTACCCAAATTTCAAAAAATTATAATTATACAGAATACATAGGCAAACTCTCACTGTACTCTCAAAATACCTACAACACTCGCCGTTAAACGTTAAAAAGACTTTAATCCCATATCTATAATTATTATTCACTATAATTTGTATACAATCTCCGCTTTGATTGGTTAGCCATTTGAAAATAATTATGACGTTAAATTTGCAAAATATTATAACTCCTAGTATTTGTAATTATGACTATGTAATTATGGCGTTAAATTTACAAATAATTTCTGGTATTCTGTAATTATTAAGTCATAACTACAAATAATTGTTTCTAAAATCAATATAAAATCGAAAAAGAAAATAATTACTGAATAAAATAATTTTACCGTATAAAGGCAAGCCCCCCAGGTTAACGGGATTCAGGGCTAGGCAGAATAAATTACCAAACTTTGAAAATTGTAATCGCATTGGCAGATTATTTTAAAATATTTTGAATTTAAAATTAAGTCTTTTAATTCGTTCTGCCTAATCCTAGATCCGATTAAATCTCAATCTCACGCTCAATCTCGTCCAATAATTTTCTCATAAAATTATGCATTTTACATTATTCCGAGGATACCCCTAGATCACATGACAGCTGAACATCGGCCCTTATGACAGCTAAACCCTTGCGATTACCTTCACAAAAGAAGCCATCACCACTGTAGTTTGCTTTGCAAGCGCAGTAGAAAGATCCAGGAACGTTTGTGCAAGTTGCATTTGTATGACAGGAAGCATTTCGTTCACATTCGTTGATATCTATATTCGCGATCGATATAATTGTACAAATTTACGAAATGATCCCCTTGAATAAATAAATCCCATTAAATTAACCTGTATTTCTCTCTTGAAGAAATAAAAAAAGATTGAAGCAGATATGACTGTGTAGCTAGTTAATGGATTTAGCATTTTAACATCGTATAATTATCATACACAATGCGGACGTTTATAAAGTGGTCTGTAACATCAATCTTTGTAATGTGTTCTAAAACTTTGATGCAATTGAAAAATGTTCAAAATATGACCACCCTAGAACTTGCCTGTGCAATTTGTTCCATTCCCTTCAAACCCAGATAAACACTCGCACGTGTAAGAACCATTAGTGTTCATACAATTCGTATTGAAACCACATGGATTACCCTCGGCACATTCATCGATGTCTGTCGAAATTAAAAATGATGAGGTTAAATTAGGTTGATATATGAGTGGCAATAAATCCTTCTTCCCCCCAATCAATCTTTTCGTATTTAAAACATTGATAATGCTATTATCTAAATATTTAGCTAATTTAACGTTATTGGTAATTTTTACTTACAATATAATTCCACAGTAAAGGGAGTTCTAGGCTAGGGATGTATTCCGATGGAAAACCTGTAAGTTTGTAACGTGCCCAATGATCAGCCTCGTACCCAGGCGCTTTATTGGAAAACATAAAGGCTGCATTCAGCGTAATATAGAGATCTGTGGCTAAAATGTGCGAGCGCGCGGGGGTGCTTGGGGTGGACGCGACAAATGAAGCGCCTGGCAGAATATGCGACAAATATGGCGCCGGCGGACGACGTATTCATATTCATAGATGCAAATGAGCAAATTGCCGTACACCCTATCACCGGGCGGTACATTTGGGAAAGATTTTGTGCAAAAATTGTCACTGCGTTGTATTATTCGTCATTTTCGAATATTAAGGCACAAACAGTTATTTACGAGCGCTGAAAGAAGAGAATCTACTCGAATATGCAATGATTTACATCAGATTTAGGTTGCACATTTCTTCCATCTGTTTGACTTCTTTATTAATTTGTTTTTCTTGGGAATCTGTTATTTTAACACCTCCAGAAACACTAAGAATTTTGACTTTGACCTGGTACGTTTTTATCATGCTGAGTTTAATTTGAAAAATTGTTGCAATTTCACATTATGGTCTTTTGCAAAGCTCATTAGCCAGTTCAATGTTTCCATCATCTAATCGAGTAATAGCAACAGTTGATTCTGTCATCTAAGCCATTTCCATTACATTAAGTTCATTCTGCATTACAGAAATATTATCATTCTGCATTACAGAAATATTATGGTTTACTACCATGTGGTTTTATTAACAAATTAGTGTAAATAACTGTATTAAATGTTAAGAAAAATTAACTATTGAAACCTATGTAGAGAGTAATTCATTAATATTCCTTTACAACACCAACACTCTTTGTATACTGTACTGTACATGAAATTCAACTGGTGTACTACAAAGCAAATAATAGACTTAATTCATCCCTACAGCAATATACTTATATACATCACACAATGTAGATGCAGGTTGTGTACAGTATTCCAAGAAATTACTATAATACATGTATAAATTATATTGTTCCATAGTCCTATTTACTACATTATACTCTCAAAAGGAGATACATATTTTCAATCCAACAACTATTTTCTTTTTTGTAGAATGGGGGAAAATTTCTTTAATTCCCAAGTCAAAGTATTATTTTTATTATCAGAATGCCATGTAAACTCATTAATAATGTCTGTTTTTCATGGACATTGGAGTCTTCACAATAGTCATTAGTCCAACAACCTTCTAATTCAGAGCATAAATTTGGTGATTTTATCTTCCACTACCTATGAAAAGCACAAATATGTATAATTTATGAATAACAGTCCCAATTTCTGACAATCGAGTCTGATATATAATATGTACTTATGTTTATGTTAAATTCACACAAACTCCAAGCATTGGGGTTAAAGCATGTTTCCCTGCTGAAATGATTCTTTTCCTTCCTCTTTCTGTGGGGTGCTGGTAACAATCTGACCTGGAGTTTGTTATTGTATATCACTAGTAACACGCATATAAATTGCAACTTGATAGCATATTTGATATAGAATGAAAATAAAAATGTATTATTGTTTAATTAATATCAATAGTGGAAATATTTAAATCTCAAGGCAACTAAGCACTCGACTCTAACACTCAATTCTTGTTTCTTCGATACCAAACGTATACCTTTCCTCCTCCGAGCTTGACGATACTTTTGTAAGGAAATTAAGACGAATCTAAATAGTGTTAAATACTGCGCGACTGCATAGTAACACAGAGGAGTATACTCATACACTGTTTACGAAACGAGATTTGTCAAAATAGTCGTAAAATAAAAAAATTCAGTATAAAGCTACCTTCAAATGACAGTTTTTGAAACGATCGTTCCAAATCATCCATAATTTTGATCGCAGGTTCAATTCTTCTTCAAAATATATCTACATATAACATATTGTAGCCTTCACGCATTTCTCACTTTTTGCAAAAAAGGAGACGGAAATCTGCATATTCTGCCAGGCGCTTCGTTCTCCCGTCGCGTCCTCCCCAAGCACCCCTGCGCGCTCGCACATTTTAGCCACAGATCTCTATATTACGCTGAATGCAGCCTTTATGTTTTCCAATAAAGCGCCTGGGTACGAGGCTGCCCAATGATACCATTCAAATTTTACAATTGAATTTGTAATTGAATTTGATATTTTCTGTCGAAAGCGTCACTTTTTGAACTGCACATTTTAGGTAAGAACGACCCATTTCCCGTTAGAACTGCTCACTTCGGAAAATAGGCGGCGCGCGTTAAGATTTCTGGGTGTCCAAATATTGCAACAATATGAAGCTTCGAGCAGTGACAAACTGACACTGACAGGCAATCTCTTTTTGCATTCTAACCATATATCACAAATCGTTATAACGAAAATGACAATGAAAAATTATCTAAATATTATCTAATTAGCTATATAGGGAAACGTCGCTTGAACATGTACGAGACGTACAAATCGAGACGATTTGCATCAAATACGACTGACATACAGTCATGATTATACAGTGCGAAAAAAAAATTATTTCTATCAGGATTTACTGTGCGCTGATTTCTATTTTAACCCAGATCAGTGGCTGTGAAACTTTAAAAGGTGTAATGGTACTCTATTATACTACATCGAGTACATTAACATGACTGACCGCATTTCGTAATTCGTACATATATGTACAATTATTTAGGTGTAAGTTGACGCTATAGCATTGCAATCTTCAACACTATGATTACATAAAGATACACCTAGAATTAAAGTAATTCCGAAAAATGAAAGCATAATACAAATTTTATTCTGTATATTTCGAATCAAGAAATCTGCTTTCATTTTTCGGAATGACTTTAATTCTATACGTGCTAAAACTATCAGTTGGTAAAGGATAAAAATACACCTTTAGCAAGTAAATTTACAATGATTTTGCTGTTTATACCCGGGTGTTTGCACCAAGTGCACCAGATTCAGGTATATTGACATACTTTGGTATTTGATTCAGATTCAGGTATATTGAGTAATCATACAACAACTTATGAGTAGATTTTCACTGTTCGAGTGTAAACATATCTACCCTTATGAAAATTTCACATAATGATTTCATATATGAAATGTTTCATATATGAAACCTTATGTGGAATTGAAACACTTCATATATGAAAATTTCACATGTGAAATTGTTTCACATAGTTTATATGATTTTTATCCAAGAATATTTCATATATGAAATGATTTCAAATATGATATGTTTTACATATGAAATAGTTAGAAGATAATAAAATGGCTGCATGAGTGAATTTCAATGTATGGATTGAAAATTTATTGGATTAAAACTTAAGAGGTTTTATATGATAAAAATTTAAATACAAAAGATAACCATTTTAAATACATAGACATATATTAACCTGTAAAATTAAAAAAAACAATTTAGCCATAACATTTCAAGAACAACACTTATCAAGTTCATTTTTATTTTTTTTTGCATGCCATTTTTCATTATTTCATCCTTTATCTGTTTGCACATAGCATTCCTCTTCACTATCTTCTTTGCTGTGCTCTGCCTCACACATTCTAATAAAAAGTAAATATATCAGTTTATCCAAATTCACTCATGTTATCTCACTTTTATATTATAAACTAATTTCATCATACAAAGATATACTACTCCACAAAATTATATTATATTATATTATATATATATATATATATATATATATATATATATATATATATATATATATATATATATATATATATATATATATGTATAGGTTATCATATGAGGGGCGAGGTGATATCAGTTTTATCGCTTGAGGGACGATATCATAAATGTCACGAGTGAGCGCAGCGAACGAGGGACATTTATGATATCGTACTGAAAGCGATAAAACTAATATCATCTCGTCCCGATTGTGACAACCTGTTTATCACATACTTCTTTTTCTTCTATAAAGCAATCGACATCGGCTGAAACAAACCTCGAACTGCTCGAGTCAGCCATCTTTGTTTTGACAGCGGCAAATGCAGCGGGACAAAAAGCGATATCAGTGACAAAAAGCGATGTCAGTGACGATATCGTTTTTATGTCACCCTGTTATCGCCCTGTGATGTGATAAATAAAAAAGTATGTGATAAATATATATAGTATGTGATATATATATATATATATATATATATATATATATATATATATATATTATATATAATATATATTATAATATATATATATATATATATATATATATATATATATATATATATATATTATAAAGTGTATTTACATACCTTTTATTATTTGAACTTTAGCCAGCCAGATCAATTTACCAATGTGAAGTATGCACCACATTTGACACAACATTCATGATTCAACAGGATAATCAACACCATATTCAAAATCACCATATGACTCATTTCCATCATTCAAACGTTCGAAATTCAAATTTTGTAAAAAGCCATTCCAAACATTTATTAAAAGAATTATAATGGACTAAATCGATCATATGGAGTTGAAACTTTATACCTTGAAACGAAACAGATGAAATCAACCTAACATAGCCCCAAAAAAGAGATTTTGTACCAACTTTTTTGTTACTAATTTTATCATTTCGTATTTTTATCCATAAAAATGTGGGTACAAAATCTCTTTTTTTTAGGCACATCTTAGGTTAATTTTGTCTATCTTGTTACAATGTACAAAGTTTAAACTCCAATTGATAGATTTAGTGCATTAATCTTTTTAATAAATGTTTGGAAAGGGTTTTAAACAATATTTGAATTTAATGATAGAAATGAGTCATATAGTGTTTCTGAATATCATGTTAATTATCATGTTGACTGTTGTGTTGAATGTGGTGCATACTTCACAGTAGTGATTAAGTTGTTTGTCTTTTTTTTCTTGTCAGATGATTCCTGGTCTGTTTCTAAATCAATGGATGTCAACAGTATATTTGTCTATTTTTATTTATTTTTTGCTCCGTCCATCTCAACCAAAGCAGGTGGTATAGGCGTCAACTAATAGCAGAAAAAAATAATTGCATCACTTTTCTTCTAAACATTATTTTGCAACAACAGTACTCTTGTCAGTTCATATTGAACAAATCTTAATTTTCAGCTAATTGAAAACCACAAAATTTTAAAAATCTTATTCCACTGATTGTTAATCCAGGTGACTGATGACTGTATGTAATGATTTTCAGTGAGTATGAGTCAGACTTAAACAAGACTGTCAAGCTATGGCTTTCCCATCAATACTTTCATGTGTAAAAAATAACATAAGGAAAATTGAACATTATAAATTCCCTCCTATTTTCATATTACTGTTATATAAAAAAGAAATAAGATTAGAGAAAAATTTAAAGAAATAAGAGTAATCAATATAAATTGAACAAATTGCCCGTGATTCATCTGTGATTATCGTGATTTTGAGCGACGAGTTATAAAAGCGAATATATATAAAGATTAGCACAAACAATATTAATTAAATACCTGACTAACTTCTTTAATTATAAAACCATTCTTTACTAGACCACATGAACACATCATCAGCACAGAATGCTTCTTAATCCACAGATTTATATCCATATTTCGACTATTCCGTACGGATGTATATTAAATTTTTGATACAGCCAGCAGAAAGTTTGACTGTTTCAGACGTGTTGTAATATGAGATGTTCTTTCGAAGCACACACCGTTTAGGAGCAATACCGATTATACCGATCGAGCACTCGCCGGGTAGCAACGGACTGATGGTCCCATAATACCCGAAAATGTGTTTGTTTTTTCATGGCATCATGCATAATAAAATCATCAGTCTTTTACATATCTATCCATGATGGCATTAATCCACAATTAGCATTTTGATCCGTTATAATTTGCATTACATGAAGTAGCCGATTCACTCATAATTAAAAAATTTCAACTCCTATTTCGTATGTGAAACCAGACACAGTACTAAAATGCGGTGCCCGCAATACTCACCTAGAGATAAAAGTCATAAAACGTCCGCTCATTTCTAACGACATCACCAACCTACATTCTCCTGTCGGCCGCTGGTTGGTTGGTACATTAAGGTCAAAATTGCGCTTAAAGCTTTTAAAATAAGATATTTTGGCCTCAAAATACTATCGAAGTGAGGAAAAATTGAAACAATAGTAAAGTATAGCATAACAATTTTGAGCAATTTGTCAACAAATAAATTTCGTTTGTCTTTCAAACGTCATAAATCGCTGCGAATACTCTTGTTTAGTAATAAACTTAAGATGTGTAAGTATAATTTCTTACGCTGAATCGAATGGTGGTATTTTTGTCCTTCTTGGGTGCATAAACCAGAGATACACGCAATCATCAGAGTTTGAGATTGAAATTGGAAAAAAAAATTTCCTCGAAAAAAGGAATTCGGCAAACGTACAACAAGATTAATAGTAAATTAGGAATAAATTCCAAGCATGTGCAAGGAATTTTACTAGGCGATTAAGGAAACGTATTGATGCGAACAAACAAACTCACAGGCAGAATATAATGCGGTGCCAAACTTGGCGCGGGCACCGCAATGTTATGTGAAATTTTTGTAAAAGGTAACACTAAATAGGTGTATATTAACGCTATCGTAAAGTATAATATGAAAGAATTAAGTAACGTTGCACCGTTTTAATGTAAACATACACTAATTTGTTTAGGTAGAGTATTTCTCTTTTTACACCAAGAAAGTGTTATAGGAATGCTAGCAAGGTGTATGCATAGCACACTCTTCATAACACTTCGGACAATGCAATTCCGGATTTTTAATGAAACAACCAAGTTTTGCTAAAATCTTAAAGTATATTGTACTGATACACTCTCGTATATCCCAAGGTTTACCTGTACAGCTAGCGCTGTTTCCAGAATAGCCTTCATGGCAGGTACACACATACGAGCCATCTTTATTAGTACAATTTGCATTTCCATCACAAGGATTTGTTTGACATTCATTGATATCTGTAGGGAGATACTGAATGATTTTAGTGCAAGAAACTTTTTTTAATAATTAATCATATAAAAATATCTCTGAAAACACAACATGATCGCACAGGGAAGTTCTTTCCACATTGTGCATGAAATGTTGACTACAAAATTGTAAAGGCGATGCACCTAGCTCATAATTATATACCTGTACAGTTTGTTCCATTTCCTGTATATCCAGTCTGGCACTCACACTCATAAGAACCATCAATGTTGGTGCAATTTGCATTGTAACCACAAGGGGATGACTGACATTCATCTATGTCTGAAAAAAAAAATTGAATTCTTTAATTCATACAGTTTTGGCGATATCTTGTAATTATACATATTGTATAAATTCATTGTGATGAGATAATTTTTTGCTTATCCTGCATATGTAAATAGCTCTGCATCAAGTAGCAAATATGCTGCTGTCTTTACGTCGAAACGTGAAGAAGTGCATTGTTTTGCCTTACTTTAAAACGGAAAGCAAAAACATGGCAATAACCTTACCCGTAAGTAGATTACCCCCCATATACGGATGAAAGGGATGCCGCCAATGACGTCACAATGGGTGTGCATGGGGATGCCACGTGAACATTATGTGGGGATACATGATACACACGTAAAAACGCACGAGTTGTAACAAGCCTGCAGCAAGCTTGTCGCAAGCTCGTTTCAACAAGCTTGTTGCAAGATTTATTGGCACCGCTTGTCCCAAGTTGTTGTGACGGACGTGTAGCAAGTTGTTGTCAGACTTGTAGCAAGTTTGTTGTGACAATGCTGTACCAAGGTTGTTGCCAACAAGCTTGCTACAAGTCTGACAACAACTTGCTACAAGCTTGTTGAACTTGAGCTGTTCCAAGCTTGTTATAACAAGGCCGTTACAAGCTTGTCGCGACAAGCTTGCTGCAAACATGGCCGCGCATTAAATCTCGCTTTAAAACACGCGTGTTTTCCCGGAGATTGTGAAACAAAGAACAAACAACACAAAGTTTGATGTAAAAATCATATTATTTTAAAAACAAATTCAAAGGTTAGCAATTAAATACAAACTTCACATTTGAAGTACCAAGATTACTAAAGGCTCAGTACAAGAACATATGTATTTTCCTTTCTGAGTATATAGCCTAATAATCAGTTCGTAAGAAAAGTTTCTTTGCATTCATATGGTAAAAATTAACTGGTGCATGAATATTCTTGTATAATACCAGTATTTCAGTCACTTGTTGAATTAACTTCGTCATCCCAAGAATCAACAGCTAGCTGCACCTCTTTCTTATAATTCACTTTGTTTGATACGACTTTCCGGCCAATACCTCAGTTTAGCTCCAGTTTGATAATCAAATTCCTATAAAGTATAATATACAATGGCTTCAGAAATCAGTTACTTTAAAAAATATGCAAATATTTTTGAGGAAACTGGTTTGCAAATACGTTGAGGAAACTCCATCCTGTCTGCTGTGGCGAGGGTCTTGCTTGCCATCCAAGTCTAATGTCAAATAAGTAATGTACAAATACTTTATTACCATAATACGTAAATATATATTATTATTTCTAATCAGAGCATGCTAAAAACATACGCACAGATATTAAAAATAGGAAATTTTGCACTTTACCACACACCTACTCGTCATTAAAAATATTTGAATTATTGAATACAAAAAACCGGCGAAGTTTCGATTTTGATAAATATCCACAGAAACTAGCAGTTCAATGTTTATAAAAAGCAATAAATTCAACAAATATTTTAAAAACTATATAGTTTTAAAAGGCTATAGCTTGTGTACTATAATAAATTGTGTTGCCGGCGTTGTGTACGCCATATCAAATATTTGGATGAATTAAACGCACATACCTTTATTAAAACGTCGAACTGTAGTATTCTTCAAACTTTTTTAAGTTGCCCATCCGTTTTAACTGATATTTCAACGTTTATTAAACTTTTAAAGGCTTAAAAAATCAAAGGTTTTGGCACAAAGATAGCTCAATGACCAGGTGAATCAGTGAACTGTTGAAAAGAGCAGGGAAATTTGCAAATATACTGACGTAATTTCAACCAATAAGATCACTTATACATAGTTTAAACAGAGTTTGAACCAATGAGATTACTCCGTTGAAATCGTCACTTCCTCAACGGTTCAACGGTTTTAGATATCCTTGAAACAAGGAAATGTTCATCTGTAATGTTTTTAAGGAATTCGGATTCTTTTCAAATCTTATTACTAAAAGAAGTTATGAACTTTGTTGCAGAGTGTTAAAGTGTTTAAAAGCTCGTTGATCTTGCGTTTGCCATTTGATGAATGGCAATAATCAATAAAATCATATTTGGCCCAGTTCAAATTGATTTTATTGTTATCGGAAAACTTTTGCCGTTAACAATGTCGCTACAACTTGTTGGAACTGTCTTGTTACAGCATTGTCACGCGCAGCCTTCGTACAAGCTTGTTGTGACAGGGTTGTTACAACTTGATGACTATAACAACTTGTCAACAAGTTGCTCCAACAAGCTTGGTACAGCTTGTTGTCGACAAGCTTGGAACAAGTTGTTCCAACAACTTGCTACAAGTCTGCAAGCCAACAAGTTGTAGCAAGCTTGATGTCAACAAGCTTGCTACAACCTGTTGTCTCAACAAGCTTGTTACAACTTGTCAACAAGCTTGCTACAAGCTTGTTGAGCCAACAAGTTGTCAACAAGATGTGAGATTTTTAGGTGTGTAGTTTCGCGTGAACATCATAGATGATGCATTTTGCGTTTAATGACGTCATTTTGCGTTTAATGACGTTATGTACGTTGGATCAAAGCATAATCTTCTTAAGATCAATGATGATATTCCTGTAATGCTAAATAGCAAACCTATTCCCAGAGTATATTCAATCTCTTGTCTGGGCGTTACCCTTGATGAAACATTAAGTTGGGAAGAACACATTGAAACGATTTGCAAAAAAGTTGGGGCAGGTATAGGAACGTTAAAACGCGTCAAGCCTTATGTTCCTGGAAACATGTTGCAATCGATTTATAAAGCTTTGATACAACCTTATTTCGATTATTGCTCTCCCCTTTGGGATACCTGCAACAAGACATTGAAAGATAAGCTGCAAAAATTTCAAAATCGGGCAGCTCGAATAATAGCTGGCGCTAGCTATGAAATTAGGTCTGCAGATATTCTTCGGGCACTTGACTGGGAAAATTTAGATTCCAGACGAAGTATGACCAAGGCAGCATTATTATATAAAATTTTGAATGATTATACCGCACCTAATTTGAAAGAATTATTCATCAGGAGGAATCTTTTGCAAAATAATTATGACCTCAGAAACTGTCACATTGATTTGGCTCTTCCAAAACCGAGACGAGAATTTCTGAAAAAAAGTTTTAAGTACAGTGGTGCTAAACTTTGGAATAATCTTTCGCAAGAAGCTAAGGAAGCGCAATCTATTTATTCTTTCAAAAATATTGTAAAGCAAATGAATTGTTAAATAGAATTAAGATTCAATCATGTATAGATCTTAGCATACGGCCGGATCACACCAACTTAATCTATTTTCTTACTTATATATTTCTCTTTTGTAAATAGCTATGTAGATATATTATTATCTTTTGTAAATGTTCTATTGTGTTTTGGACGCCCCTTATGGAAACCAACTTTTGTTGATAAGGCTAGCGTCATTAAAGAAGGTTTTACATACATACATACATACATACTAAATGTACACGGGAGTTTCACGTGTACATTATGCGTTTGATGTGTGTAGTGTTTATAGGGTATGATATAGGAATCAAGATCAGATTTTAGTATGGATTATTTATTATTTCGATTTGTTGAAAAGTTATGGTACAGTTCGATTTTTTTGTGAAATAATTTTTATTAATATAATTTAGGTACTCTACGACTATTAAATAGATAGTGATTTAGGATACGATTAACTATTGTTCTAAAGTCACTTAAACTTACGGTTCGTTGTATTTTGATGAAATGTGCGATCATCAATAAGTAAAAATTAATGTTTGAGGGAAATAAGAACGAGTTTAGTAGAAACATCTGATCACGTCTTAGCATGCAGTCGGTGACTTCTATCCACCAATTATTATCATAACTCATCGGCCATGACGTTTCGCCAATGTACACGCTGTACCCGATTGGTTCTTTGACGTTCACATAGTAGCCATATTTCTTTTGTCGCATAAGCGGTTTGTTTGAGTATACGCGGAACACTTTACCCTTCCTACCGAAATTATATTCACGTTTTGTACAGAATCCAACTTTGAGACTTGAAGATTTCATCATCCATCAGCAACTCAGTCACCCACATTAGCTTTTCAGTTATTTGTTTTTCAGTGTCAAAGTTATTCTGAGTCTTCGATAACGTTAGGAGTACAGTTTTAACGACGAGATCTTTTAGAGTCTGCACACGCTCCATCGCCAAGGGTTATGTACAACTGAACCGCATTTTATTAAGTGACTGTTGATATTGTACAACATCACATGCGTAATGAATACATTAACATATCATGTGAGCATTGTATACAGGATTTGAATAATTAAACAATGTATACGTATACAGATAGATTAACAATGTACACGTGTACGACGTTGACGCGATGTTCGCGTTAACATTTCACGTGAACATTGTATACGGTATGCGTGTTGTATGCGTATACAGATAAATAGATCATGTATATGTATACGACGCTGATCTGATGTACGCGTTAACATTTCGACGATGCTCGTTTGCAATGGTTTCCTTAAGAAAGGTTTAGTAAACCATTTGGCTAAGTTTAGATTCTAATCATCATTATCGTCATCATCATTACTGCCTTTATTTTTTTTCACATCTTCAATCTCGTGGTCGTTTAAAAGCCTTTTAATAAGGAACTTTCTCTTATCAACTGCAGCTTCTATTGCTTCTTCTGGGTCAAAATCATCATTTTGAATAAACGCATCTTTTGTGTGCATTATTTTCTTATGTACTGGATCTTTCTTTATTTGTCTCATCCATAAAAGGCGCTCTAAGTAGATATTTTCTAATTCTTTCTGGAGTCTAGGCATAACATTGAAGTAAGCTTTCTCTTTAGCGGTATGCTCATCGAAACCACTGCTTATAAGACTTTCTTCCATTTCCTCAAAAGCTGTGTTACTTCTTTGTTTTGCTTCTTCTATTAACGGTATCCAGGGGTCCATTTCTTCTTCAGATTCTGAGTCAGACACCGTCGAACTTCCAGACTGCTGAGTGGAAGTGGTCGAGACATCATCTTGGAAATCTCTTTCTTGACTGTCCGAGTCTGTTTGAGACATGTTTCTTTCTTGTTCTCGTAGTGGACAGTAATCCCGTTCGTGTCTGCGCTGATTGTAACGCGGCTAAAATCTTCCGCAAAATTGACAGCTCATTCCCTTACCACTGGAGGAGTGGGAATGCCTTGTTATCGAGCAGTAATGCAGTTTTATGAGCAAATGAGCATGTGTCATGAGCAGTTATGAGCATGTGCTCCTGCTCATCGCATAAAACTTACCCGGTTCATAGAGATTTTTTAGGCCCAAACTCCTATAGTTAAGAATGCGAGAATGTGCTCATAACTGCTCATGAGCACATGCTCATCGGTCCATCGGCCAAAATCATGGGTACTCGATTTTTGAATATATTGATATTGATTCAGTGTCTTTTTCAACCTTTGATATAGCAACTTCAAGTGCTCGAGCTAAACACATTTTGTCAGTGTAATTAATACGAATAATTGATCGCTTGCTGATCAAGTAAATTGATCTCATATCGTTTCTTTCCGGTGCCTCCGTTGGGCATCTCAACGTTTCACAATATTAACATTTACTGAGTCGTTTAATCTGAATCCCCGATTAGATTGAATAACTCGTTCAATTTAAAATGAACTTTAATTTCTCACTAGATATAAAGTGTAAAGGGTAATTATTCACTTATTTTGATAAAGCTCTGGCATAAAATTTGCAGAGGAAGGGTCACGCATGCGCAAGCGTTTACCCGGCGTTAACGTTAAGAGTAAAAATGACAAACACAATTTTATCAACAAGATTCCCATCATCAGTATATTATTTATCGTCAATAAATCCTTGGAATATACACCTGTGCCAAACCTTTTTTATAATTTCTCCATCTGTAAATGCTTGATTATGCTATTTTTTAAAATCATGAGCGTTTATCACTTAGTACATGAATGTCTATCTTGTCAACATAGTGCTTAAAAACCCAATATTTGAGATCAACGTATCCGTGATCTACGCATGCACAGCATAACTTTCGAACAAACTCTTTATTTGTAAATGTTTGTCTTTCATCAAAAACAATCTTCCATTCGTTTTCGTCTTTTACCAGCGTGGATAAGATTTTGTTTTCAAAGCTGGATAAGGTCATGTAGATAATTGGGTGCACGGCATCTTCCCCCCAGTAAAAGATTAAGTCAGCTACTTTCATTTTTACAGCAAATAAAGCACTCTTCGCTTCAATTCTTGTCTATGATCCGTACGGAACGTGGTTTTCCAATTGATGCGTGTGTACTTGTGCATTTTGATTGCACTAACGCGGGGTTTTATATCGCTGAGACGCCGGGTAAACGCTTGCGCATGCGTGACCCTTCCTCTGCAAATTTTATGCCAGAGCTTTATCAAAATAAGTGAATAATTACCCTTTACACTTTATATCTAGTGAAAAATTAAAGTTCATTTTAAATTGAACGAGTTATTTAATCTAATCGGGGATTCAGATTAAACGACTCAGTAAATGTTAATATTGTGAAACGTTGAGATGCCCAACGGAGGCACCGGAAAGAAACGATATGAGATCAATTTACTTGATCAGCAAGCGATCAATTATTCGTATTAATTGCACTGACAAATAGTGTTTAGCTCGAGCACTTGAAGTTGCTATATCATGCAAAGGTTGAAAAAGACACTGAATCAATATCAATATATTCAAAAATCGAGTACCCATGATTTTGGCCGATGGACCGATGAGCATGTGCTCATGAGCAGTTATGAGCACATTCTCGCATTCTTAACTATAGGAGTTTGGGCTTAAAAAATCTCTATGAACCGGGTAC